GAGCTTTGTAAACTGTTGCCAGAAGAAAGTGAGGTAACAACAGCTCCACTTTTCTCTTCTTATCTATCCATTGGTCCTATTTGCATAATGAACATTTAAGTGTCTTGGAAGAAGATCTACTGTATCCTCCTGCATTATATTTTGATTACATATTTCTCTATTTAAAAAATAGAAAATAGAAGCTCATAATTTGCATAACTACACATAACATAATAACAGGAAGAATATTCTTTATTTAAAGATCACTTTTCAAAAATGTTAGTGCTTCACAAAGGCAGCAACATAAAATAGACAAGTCATTAAATAATCAGTTTTTTTTTTTTAATTAAAGTGAATTAAAATCAGCAAAGGCCCCTGATAAAAGTATGTTTTAAGATGGGACTTAAAGGAGACAGCTGATCTGATTTCCTTGTGCATATTGTTTTAGAGCCTTGCATGATACTTGCACGTTCAAAATTCTTTTTCTCTTTCTCCAATGTAATCTTGAGAAATTGAAAATCTATAAGAAGGAACAATAACACAAATGTCCTCACTGTTTGTTGAAACAGGTGAAGCAGCTGCTGTCATTTACTGGGAAACTCTCCGTGTTACCTGAGGCAGACCAGTTCATGGTGCAGCTGGTCAAAGTGCCAGGGTGAGTCTGGAGTTTGTTTATATAGTAACTCAAATTTCTGAAATATTTGGTTGCATGAAATGTTGTTTGCAATCTCAAACCAACTAATTACTAACCAACTAATTAAAAAGTGTAAAGATTTTACACATAGTCACTCACTTGTCAGGGACTGTCATGTGTGACAAAACAACAACAAAAACCTGTTATTTGCTTTAATGTTTACTGTGATGAAATGTATAGGATAGATTTGTGTGCATATATTACCTTGCAAATGCCAATTTGTTTTTGTTACACTACCACTTATGCACCACAGACTTCACATACAACACATGGACACATGTTAACCTGTAATAAAAACTGAAAACATTTCAACAGCAGATGCAGTAATTCGCAGTTTTGTTGATGTTTTGCCTTTTAGCTATGAGGAACGCCTGAAAACGATGGTGCTGAGGGAGGAATTCTTTCCTCTTATGGAGGAGCTGAAGAATTCAGTCGCTGTTATGACCAAAGGAGCCAATGGTAACATTTCACACACATCCACCAAAGCTGCAAACAATCCCAACTTCTGATCTCTTTTACATCACCCTGTTCTCACTTGGTGTTTTATTGATGTTCTGTATCTCCATCTCTTTTCCTTCTCTCCCTTCAGAGCTGTTGGACTGTGATGAACTCCACTCAGTCATTCGGCTGGTATTAAAAGCTGGGAATTACATGAACGCTGTTGGTATTTTTCTTTAGGAATTCTGTTTATATTACCTACAGTTATGTATTACATCTGATGCTTTTGAGCTGCCCATGTGCTTTCAGGGGCTTTTTACTCTGCATATATTATACTGATGAATGAACCATTCAAATAATTAATTTTCAGGGTGGTTACAGTGCCAATGCCATTGGATTCAGGATGACCTCTTTGCTCAAGCTGGCAGACACCAAAGCCAACAAGCCTGGCATGAACCTCATGCACTATGTTGCCAAGGTGAAGAGGAAGCCTGAAGAAAATACTTGTGAAAACCCTGCTATCATGCTATGTCCCTAAACGGTTATGTAACAGATTTATTGTCCCACTCTCTCTCTTTACTCACTATTGCTCTCCTCCTTTATCTTCCTCCCACAGCAAGCAGAGGACATTGATGCAGAGTTGCTGACTTTTCCCACCCAGCTTGAACACATTGGGATAGCATCAAGGTGGCTATCATTAGCACACTGACAATATATCGGGTAGCAGTAGCTTGTTGTCATATTTTGAAGCTGGTTGGTATGATGCACAATTCTGTATTGCCTGGAATATATCATGTCAATGTGTAAATGTTGCTCGCTAACACAGAATTTGTAAAGAAGAGATAATCACTGACTTTGAGGGGGAAGTACAGAAGATCAAGGAAGTGAAACTGTACAGCAGCAGACAGCCGGATCTCATACAACAAATGGATACATTTCTCATGGTAAAGTTTCCCCATGTTGTTTGACCTTAATCGTGTAAAAGCACCTATATGTGTAGCTTCTTTATACCCTTTTATGTTTTCATTTCATAGAGGGCTGAGGCCAAGCTGTCCGATTTGGAGTCCTCTCTCCAGGAGCTAAAAGGTCTGAGTGATGCTGTCGCTGAGTACTTCTGTGAAGACCCAGCTACCTTCAAACTGGAGGAGTGCTGCTCTATCTTTCATTCATTTTGCAAGCGGTTTGACACAGCTGTACGGGTAAGAATAGAATGAAATTACAATAATAATTAAATCTACTATGAAATTGCATAACAAGGAAAAATGATACTATTGCTTTGTAAATTTATAAATGAAGGGGTACTCCCAAAAAAAGGAACGTTTGATGTTGAGTACTTTGAATTTTAACAAGCTCCTGTTCCCCTGTGTCATTAGTCGGCACTGTGTTGTCTCTAACTTGAATATATCCTCTCTTTACACTGCTGTAGGAGAACAGAGAGCGAGAAGCAGCAGAGCAGAGGCGCAAGCGGAGGGAGAGCGTGCATGTTGCAGTCAAACGTCGCTCCACAATGTCTTGCCCAGGACATGAGCCTGATCGGGGCTCTCCCAGCTTGGAGTCGGCCTTACACAGCTTTCTCACCACCGTTCCAGGGGGAGTAGCCAGATACAGGAAGAACATTTTGCCCCCAATCAATGGATCCCCATCTGAGCACAGTTCTCAGACTGTTCCATCAGCAGAAAACACTTTGTCTACGCTCCATACTCGACAAAAAAGGCCTGAGAAGAAACAACCCAAACTGCAGAAAGAGGACGAACAACTGGCAAACAGAGAAGAAGCTGAGAAGATGCGTGAGATAACTCGGAAGGTGCTTCGCTACCAAAACAGCAAAAGCAACTTCCTTGGGGACAGAGTTTCAGGCATTCCTCGTCAGTTGGAAAGAGTGCAAGCCACACCAGCTACCCCAAGAACCCCTCGGCCTAGAACCAGAGACTTCTTCTTTGCCAACAATGGGGATGTTGGCTCCCCGTGGACTATCCTGAGCCCTATTACTTACTCCCAACAAACCCCCCTCCAGCAAAACAGACAAGCACACCGACGCAGACTGTCCTCAATGTCCGCTGGAGATGACCTTGATGATGGAGTCTGGGAGAGCAACAAAAGCAATTCTCCCCCCAATTCGTCCAAAGGGGCCGGTCTGACATCTCAATGTGGAGCTTCTGCGTCTCTTCCTGAGTGCCCCAATCAGAGAGCTGTGTCGCAAGGTCCAATGCTCAGGTCGGTTTCTATGGAGGACACCAGACCATCTCCAGCATCTCTCTTCCGTCTGGGAGACTTGTTCCAGAGAAGCATGTCTCAGAGGTCATCCTCCTCTGGATCAAGGACAGAAAATATGACAGAAGAAGGAGCAGGAGAGGGACAAGTGAGCACCTCAGGGTTCATATCCTTCTTCAAACGCATTGGAGGCAAGAGTAAGCCTGGTGATGTGGAAGAACAAAACTTCAAAGGATCTAATACTTGATTAAATTATTTTATTTAAGAGACAAAGACCAAGCTTTGTCATTTTTCTGTGTTTTAAATTGATAAAATGTGTTTGTCTTTTTTTACTTTATCTTTTTTTACCCTTCAGTGGAACCAAGGCAAATGAGGACTTGCTTGTGGACTGTGAAGGTTTTGATGTGGGAGTCAAACCACATTTAAAAAATCGTAACATCTTTCTTTCTTTTTTTGTCTTTTTGCACAATAAAGGGTGACATTGTACCTTTTTTACATTTTACTTGTATATGGCTTATGCACTCAACAACATTTATTATTTACTGCTCTTCGGGTTGTAGTGTCTCCTTTTTCCTCCCTTTTCATGAGATCCTTAAAGTTTGACTGGTGTTACATGCTCAGTTTCCAGTACTTGCCTTTCACTTCATGTATTATTTCTGTCAGTCTGGCTTGAAGGCAGTTCTTCGGGTAGCAGAGGAATCAGCCTTTTAACCCTTTAAGGATAAATACACAAAGACAAACACAAAGAAAAAAGCAACACAATTGGTAATTTCGGCTATGAGATTTACCTAAACTCCTAGCTGATGCTGTCATTACAAGTGACAAGACCATTTGAATCGGACACATTACTGTTGGTGAACCCATGCTGTGTGTTACCAGCCCCCCCAACTTGGCTTACAGATTATCTGTCCTGCTACCACTGTGCCACCCTGAAGTCTCTGCTCAGCAGTAGCTGAGATTTTGGACAGAAAGAGAAGACATTCAGCTGTGTTACTTGGGCAACAAGGTTTGTTTACAGCCATTTCATTCGAGCTCTTGCAGTGTAATAATACTCTTGATCAAACTGCTGAATACAGGCTCTTTTCTGACTGTTTTGTTGTCCTCCCACATCCAGTCCTCCCACTGGCGAGCGCTCAATGGGGACATTTTAGTCGCCTGGCATTTCGGATCAAGGGGCACAATGAATAGAAGAGAAAGAATTTGGGAGAAATATGGGCTGTTTTTAGGAATTAGGACTACTCTGATGGAAGTATAGTCTCTTTGTTGCAAGAATGCAAGCTTTCCTTCATGTTAGTCTAACAAAAGATCAATGTATGGCCTTGTATACATGCAGAGATAACAAATTCTGGTTCTTGGAGCAGAGTGCTACGTTAGCAGCGACTGACCTGATGTAAAATGAGAACTTCATAATACAATCAGGCCATTGTGATAGGACGTTGAGTGCTGCAAAGGATCATCTCATGTGAGTCAGCTCCTGAGGACTTGAGTTGACATGCAGTCTCTCGCCGGGGTTATGCTAATCAACTGTGCGTTTAGAGTGTGTGTATTTCTGTGTCCCGGTAAAATGAGATGAGAAACAGAAGAGAAAGAAGGTGGTTTGGGGGAAACTTGGACTGAGTGAGAGAGGGAGGGAGACTTACAAGTTGAATTGTGAGGAAGCATTTAAGCAGAGAAGAGCATGTGAGAAGGAGGGAGGAAGCCAATATCTTAAACAGACAGAGAAAAGGGGGACTTGCAGACGAAAGAAAAGCAAAGAAAAAATCTGTAAAGTGACAATCGTGGATATTTTTTGGGAACTAGCAGCTGGATCGAAAAGGTAGATTAATATTGTTTTGCTTATCGATGCAGAATAATAGTTGAGCTATGAAATGTTAGTAAGTAAAAACATTGCTCAAAGTAACATATTTCCATGTTATTATTCTGTGTGCATATAAATTAAATGCCTAATTAAGCAGAGAGGCTAATAGTTTTGCAGAAAAGCTTTTGTTTCTTTAAAAACATAACTGTGGTGGTTTATGCTGTGAACTTAATCCGCCATAGCAGGTTTGGGCATTGAAAGTGTTGTAATCAGATTTGAGTTTGGAGAGGAAAACCATGAAAGGAATCCACTCATGATGCACTGAGATGTGTCTAAAAAGTTTCATTTTGAATTACATGTTAGGGTTTAACTCCATTAAAGTGTATACTCTGTGATTCCTGACTTTAAAGGAAACATGAATGTTGAATTGCTGCTCTGTGGTAGAAAGAGCCCTCTACTTTTCAAGCCTCATGCCCAGCCGTGAAAACGAGGGGACTGTATATGTTTAACTGACCGTGATTCCCAAACCTCTGTGCATCCCATACATCCCATGTATTAAAGAAACCCACTGCCAGTACTAAGGATAAATATTAATTTTACATGTGTATAGCTAAAAAATGTCTTGCACAAATTTTCCTGTAAACTCATAATGTGCAGTATTTAAGGAGTCACAGCTTCACAGAAGATAGATGTTCTTTGTACTCGTTGAAGAGTTGAGCACAGGAAACCCTAATTTTAGGGACAATTCCTAACATCAGCGTGTTAGCGTCAGACGATGCAAACACATAATTTGACCCCGACGTGATTTGAACACGCAACCTTCTGATCTGGAGTCAGACGCGCTACCGTTGCGCCACGAGGTCATCTGTTTAATTCTGTTGACTACTGGTCATCATTTTCCACCTGTTGCTGACTGATGCGACATGTCTTTTATATTGCAATCTTTTACGCACCCTATGTCACCTTTCCTTGTCAAAACACACAACAATAGACACTTCTCAGTGGACTTCTCGGAGTGTTTATCTCGTAGCGTAATTTTCACTTTAACGCGCGGCTTCATTGAGAATGTGTCTCTCAATTTTCAGGGAAAAGAAAAGACGAGAAAAGACAAGATCACAGCTCTCCTTTGTCAGTTTATCTACATGACATTAAAGTCTGGTGTCCCCACCATCCTGGAACATATAGAGTTTTGGTGGGTGTTGGTCATTTTGTCCCCAGTCAGTCACTAGATGGCGCAATTCAATAGAGGTTAGTTGGTTTCTGATTTGGTCGCCAGCATCTGTCATCCCATGTTCCGAACTTCTTGCTTTTACTTCCAGCACAGAGCCATGTAGGCCCACCACAAGCTAGGCTAATAATTGGTCTTCTGAAATATGTGTAAGTAGTAAGTGAGTGACGTAATAAGTTATTCAGGAATGCAAAGTTGTTCATTTATGATGTCTTTATACAAATCAAAAAGAACAAGACACAAATTACTATGTGGTAATTTCCAGAATCCTTGTGTGATCTTCACAAGTGTTTTAAATATGTGCTATTTTTATAAATCTATTTTGAAATTCACATGCATTCAGGTTCGCAGGTCTGTCTGTTAATCCCAGCTGTTTTCTACATAGAAAAGAAGAGGAGCATCTGGAGAATCTAAGACCAACCTTCATTAGTGCCCAGTCTGTTTAATTACTAAAATGGATGGGTAAGTGCACACAAAATATGTCAAATCTGTTGAGGGGGGGTTGCCTATATTTTGCATTGATGTTTGACCACAAAAAGGTAAAACAAAAAGTGCCCCCCATAACTGTTACAGTACTCTTTAGTTCTCTCACAATTACAGGGTTAGTTGTCATCAAGGTAACATAAAACACTCACTATTAATGTTCTTCCTGCTGCAGCTGGAGCTGCTCCGATTAGGATGCATGCTGTTTTCTGTCTACAATGATGAGATGGGCTTACACATCAGGGAGTTGGAGCAGTGCAGAGCACATTGATTAGCTGGGTAAATGTCACATTGCCAGCAAGGTGAATGATGCTGTCAATATGTATGTTTCCATTCAGTTGTTTTATTTCATATTTCACTACTTTTATCACACCAAAGCCAGATTTACTTTATCTTAATAAAAAAAATCTAGATGGATGGAGAGATGGAAGCTTGGGATTCAGTCGGAAAGTTGCACGTCTCTCTGCTGTAAGCTCGGGTCTCGACAGGTTGCCATTTGCATCCGTTTTTTAACATGTAAAAAACAATATATTTTTCTGTAAATATTACAGTCAGAACTGTAACTAGACAACACTACACATGGGTTGATGTGTTTACTCGCATGCACAGGCATCTTTTTTAGAGACAATGGCAATGCAGATTAAGTTGTTTGACTGTGGGGTGAAAAGTTTGAACAACCCATCAGCATCATAAACAAATGTCCAAATTAATTCAACTGTCAAAGATGAAGAATGTCTTGGGAGGCAAAGTATGCCAGCATCTTTGAGCTGTACAGAAAATTATACTGCAAAGCATGTCCAACATTCACCTTGATAAGTGACACATCAAGTTCACTAGCTCAAAGTAGCACATCCTACAGAACCACGGAGCTAGACAAGCACTGGAGCTGAAAGCAACACGAGCAGGCAGCTCAATGTCATAAAGTGGAGGCTGCCAGAGCTGCCACACCCATTAGTAGCAGATGAACACCTCCAAGCTTTTAAACATTCTTTTATGTAACATTTTTATCCTAATTACACAGAATATAAGGTGAATGTAAATGGAAACCATATTTTCAGTTTCTGTAATCAAAAGCTGATGCCTGGTTGCCAGTGTGGCTTAAAAGTTAGTGAACCTGCCACCTAACTCAGTTTACAGGGGTCAGACATTAATGCTTGTGGTTTATCATCTGCGGTTGATTTGGTTGAATCAATTGTTTAAGGTCGATTTCAGCACATTTACTTTGGTCAACTGCACCTGAGCAAACACTGTTTTTGGGTTAGAATCCGTCATATCCGAAAAACAGACGCAAAATCTTTAATAAATCTGTTTAGTAAATAAGTCACACTTCCTATTCTTGCTGTCTAGAAACAGAATAAGAAGTCTATTCCATCTATTTTAAACAGCAGTAACACCTCACATTCTCAGGCTACTCTCCCTCAACTAATAGCCATCTGACCACATTCACGAGGGTTTGGCTTGATTTAAAAAAACATCTAATATATGATCTACCAGTGTTAAGTAGTAGGAGCTAATCAAGGACAGATTGTGGACAGAAAGTACCACTGCATTTGAGTGGTGACTTAAAGCTTTTAGTGTTTCTCTTAAAGAAGAAGAGTTCATTTAAGTTATTGTTTCTGAACATAAAGACTGGGACCATTATACTTACAACTCTGTCAGTGGTTTAGCATATTTTAGTCAGTGACTTGCAAATTGCCTATATTTCTCATTACTGCTGACCATTTTGTAAAAGCATACCTGCCATTTTTATACTAATCCCCCCTCCAGATTCACACCGTTTTCCATTAATTTTAGTACGACAATCACTGCAGAATTCCTTGAAACAATTGTTTTTTAATTTTTTAATGAATGAATGCAATGACATGCAGCAAATTTTAAAAATCCTGGTCCTGAATATTGTAAAATGAATTAGCTAAATGTTCACTATAATGGATTCATTAATTAATTGACAAATACCCTTAGCATGTTTCATATATAGTACATAACTTTATTGATATAAATGATGAATAAAGAAGAGAAAACGAGTGAAAAGTGCTAAATATTTTCAGTGATTTACATAAATAGTATTTTAAGTAAAAGGAGATAAAAATGAGTTTGAAAAGAATAACTTGCTTGTAAAAGATTGTATTATAATTTTATTTCTTAAAGTGCTGCATTTGTGTGTATACACACTGAAACTATATATGTTTAGGGTTTTATCATAATATTTTAAGTGATTATCACCAAAGATTTCTAAATTCTTATTTTCTTCTATTTTAGGTTCCTGGCAGCTTTATACCTTACATATATACGTTGACAAAATGTTGTATAGTCAGACTTATAGCTATAAATATATATAGTGAGAGCTTTATGCTGAAAGGAAAGGGTACTATGCATGTGGGGCAAGGACAATTGAAATGGGGTTAAACAAAGACAAAAAATGTAAGAATCTGAATATTTATTTTAAATATTTATTTCCATAATATCCTGGCATCAACTGAAAGTAATGGGCAATAGGACCAGCCGGAAGTGATATTGATTAAACCACAGTGTGTTTACATCACCTTTTCTGCTTCAGCCATCACATTATAATATTATCCACACCGTCTGCATTCAAATGCAGACCATGTACATGTTACATAGTCTGTAATCGAAGCACATGATGACTGGTCTACACACCAGTAGTAAAATGTGCCTTTAGCTTTTTCACCTATTGGATATGTGATGACATAATTGGTGTGTTATATACATATGTTTTAATATATTGGATGATTCTTTTAAGGTGAATAATATTCTTGCCCCCCTCCCCCATGCAGTGTCTTGAAAACACACAAAAAATAATAATTGTCTGCATGCTGAGTCAAAAGCTTGTCTGTACCTGGAGGATTTTCTAAACCTGCACAGAAACCAGCTTTTATGATTTGCTGGTCAGGGATGAGAAGTAAAGAGAGAGAGAGAGCAGTCATCTGCATGTTCTGCTGCACTGGATGCAGTCTCCATGGCAACATGGTGCTCCCGCAGCAAAATCCTGGGAAGATGGTTTGGTCCCCACCCCCATGCGCATGCACAGTGCTCATGCCTCTGCTGTCCATACACACAGATCTTACAGACCCCACTATCACAATCGTCCTGTCCATATCATTTCACTGTTAGGCCCCTCTTCACCACTCTGTTCTAATCCAGCTCTACATGATCAACAACACAATAAAAAAAAAAACATGTTATTTATTCTTGCGAGGAACTTGAACCCTGTGTCCCTAAACATCCATTTCCTTTCTCAATTGATGCTTTTCTGTCCCTCACTTCTCACTTTCACTCCATCAACCACTGCATCTCCCTTTTAAGCTGAGCTCCACATGTATCACCCTTTCCAGCCATCAGTTATTAGAGTTCTCATCAGGATTCTCTTTTTCCTCTCATCAGTTACTGTACACCTACACTTTGTCTGTGTGTGTGTGTGTGTGGAGGGGAGAGAGCGATAGACTGGTTGCCTTATCTGTTTATCACACTGACTGACTGGTTCTCTCATACGAAACATGACCATGTTTCGTATAGTTTGGGCTTTTCTCATTCTCCTTACACATGAAAAATAGAAAGAGATGGTAGAGGTAACAGAAAGAGAGAGGGCAGGAATTTAAAAAAATGTATCTCTCTTTGTTGCCATCTCCCCTTCACTCTGCTCATCTCTTACATTATTGGTCAATCCAGCCCCCTCCCATTTTCACACCAGCCAGTCAGCTTGTACAATCTGTCAGTATCTCTTGGTATCTCTTGCCTCTTAAGAGCTCTCTCTCTCTCTCTCTCTCTCTCTCTCTCTCTCTCTCTCTCTCTCTGTTGCTTTTTCTCCCTCTAGCGCACACATACATGCATTAAAGCCAGATCCCGATCACACTCATACACACACACACACACACCCTGTTCCTTCCTCCCTGTGTATGAGGTGCGTTTTGCTTTGGCTATGTCGGGTTTTGTGGATGGATATTGCTCCATATGGAGTAGAGCGCACTGAAACTTGCTTGAACCTCTCTCTCATCTGTCAGGAACCTACTGTAAGTACATCTTTCTCTCCCACCCTTGCTCTTTCATGCCAGTCCCTACTGTGTGCCAGCGCTCATTCCTTCATCCTCCACTGTTTCCATCTGACACCCTTCTCCCCTTGGCAGAGGGTGCGAGCCTTTCCTCCATCTCATGTCTCCCTCACTGCACTCCATCCCTCCCTCCTGTATCCCCTCCCTACAACTGGTGGACGCATACACCCTGTGCTGTCTGTATGCAAACTAATGCTGCAGGCCATTTGCTTGCCTATGATAGGTTTGTACTGTGCAACATATCCTGAGAATGTTTCCTCATTGTGTATGTTAGACGCCCTCTGTGAGACTGACCTGACTGGGATTATAGATGAGTGGAGAGATAGGCTGCAGTTACCTGTGCAGAATAGGTGGTGTAGTGATATTCAAATGTGAATGCACACTAGGGGAAACTCAAAATGATGGTTTGTGGCTCAATGCAGCACATTTTTAAAATATGTTGTTTACATTGTGTATGGAGAAACTTGATTGTTAAGAGTGTTTTATTGGAAGAAAAAAAGCAGTGTTTCTTCCTTAGAGGACATTTTTTTTGTGCAACATGATATTCACTACACTTTATATTTTGAACAAGGCTGTTCCACACCATCACAGTCAGATGAAAACCGCCTTTGGTCCACAATGTTGTTGATTTTTACAATTTCAGATTACACACATTACATGGATTGGGCAACTTCTACAACCTGCCAGTCCCAGAAAAACATTTCAAAGCTCCTAGTAGCCTATCAATAATGCATTGACATCAATCTTAAAGCAAGACTGTTTTTATTTTCTAAAGTTTCCCTTTGCCCAGTGAAATGGGTTTCAGGAGGTTTAAACTTCACCAGTTCCACACTTTGGTCCCGTGCTATAATCTACCAAGATACAGTTAATGATGTTGTGAGCAGAACCTTTACATTTGACACTTTGGCATAT